AACGATGCCACAAAGTTGAAGCAACCAGATTATTAATAATTATTGTACGGCTCCTGTAAGACAATCGTGGAAAAGCCAGAGCCATTTCTTTAACCTGCCCTCCATCAGTTCAATAAAACCTTCCCAATTTCTCATTACCTCTATTTGATCCCAAGTAAACACCCAAATATTTAAAACCATTTTTCAGCCACTTTAATTCACCAGGTAATTTAGGTTCTTGTTTTGTCCACTTACCAACTAGCAAAGCTTTACTCTTGCTCCAATTAACTTTGGATGGAGACATTTTGGCAAAACACTCAATAATTTCAGTTAAAGTAAAAACATCTGACTCTTCTATGATTGCCACAATAATATCATCTGCATATGCAGAAAGTTGGAAGGGTAAAGAAACTTCATTCGACTTTACCCCCTGCAACCTTTTCCTGATTTGACATAAAGGTTCAATACTCAACAAATACAACATTCCTGACGTTGCACAACCTTGGCGAATACCTCGCTTTACATTAAAAGGTGCACTTAAACCACCATTGACTTTCAATACACTTTCAATGTCACAATAGAGGGTTTTAATCATGGCAATGAAACCAGAGGAGAAACCAAAAGCTTTCAAACTATTCCATAAATATTGGTGCTCCACTCGATCAAATGTCTTTTCTTGGTCAATAGAAATCAGACCAAAGTTTAAACCCAATAAATTAGAGACGTCCAAATAGTCTGGAATTAATGTTATATTATCTCTGATTGATCTGCCAGGGATGCAGTAGGACTGATCGACATCTATAACTGGATCAATCACTTTTCTCAGTCTGGACGCCAACACTTTAGAGAAGATCTTGTAATCAGTAGACAACAGACTGACAGGCCTCCAGTTCCTCATTTCATACAGATCACCCTTCTTAGGCAGAAGAGTGAGCACAGCTCTGCGACAGCTAAGGGGTAACATTCCCCTTGTCACACAGAGGATTTCCAACAGATCTTCAGCCAGCACAGGCCAACACGATTTAGAAAACTCCACAGGCAAACCGTCTATTCCTGGAGCTTTGCCATTCTCCATGCTCAGCAGCGCCCCCTGCAGTTCTTCCAACGTCAGAGCATGCTCCAAAATGACATGGTCTTGGTCTGACACCTTTGGCAAGTCACTGAGAAACTCTTCTGTCATCACAGAGTCGTCTCTAAACTCACTGTGAAAAAAGTCCACAGCTCTTTTCCACAGTTCGGTGGGATCTGTCAACTCTTTTCCATCTTCAGAACCAATGAATGAGACGATTTTGTCCATTTTTCTTCTCCAAACTGAAGAAGACTTTAGAGGGAGCATCCATTTCAGAGATATGTTGAAAACGTGAACGTACCAGAGCTCCCTGCTCTGAGCCCAAGCAGATCAGCCAAAGCAGATTTTTTTCCTTTTGAGAGCCTGAAAATGGCCTCGATTTCCTGTGGACTCACAAAAACTCTGAAGATCCACAATTTCAGTCTCTAATTCCTCAACAGATCAAACCATTTCTCTTGTAACATTGTAAGTGTATTGATTACAAAACTGCTGAATTTTAATTTTACCGATATCCCACCACTGCTGTACAGACGTAAACTGACATTTCATGAGTTTCCACTGCTTCCAAAAAAAGAAAATCCTGTTTTAAAACAACCATCATTTAACAAAACAGTATTGAAATGCCAATATGCACTTTTAGGTCTTAAATTATTAATAAACACATTCCCTATAATCATACATTGATCAGAAAAGCCCAGTGGACATAGTGCATAATTTAAATATTTGTAAATGGAGCCCAAAACAACAGAACCCATCTAATCTTACCAAAGTAATATAATTCTCTTCACAATGAGACCAGGAATATTGTCTTATCTTTCCATTTTTAAATCGCCACATATCAGCTAAATCATGTTTCAATAAAACGTTTCAATTTTCTCCTTGTGGCTCCAAATGATTCCCATCTAGATCATCTATTGTACAATTAAAATCACCTCCTAAAATTAAATAATCTGTTGACACAATTTAATAGTTTATCTGCTAACTTTTCTAAAAACACACAACGTTCACTTGGATTCACAGGAGCATATACATTCAGTAAAATAAACTTTATATTTTCATACTTAATAACTTTTAACAATCTTCCAGTTTCAACATCTTCAGTTTCAATAGAAACTGGAAGAAAGTTTCTTGAGAAAAGAAAAGCTACTCCAGCACTTAGTGAAGTTTTATGACTCAGAACAAGATTTCCATCTAATCAGCCTCATTATCAACATCACTGAGTTTCTGGAGCAAAAGCTGCATCAATGCATTTAGATTTTAAAAGTTCAAAGTACACAGCCCTTTTTCACATCCTTTGCACCATTAAGGTTTAAAGATGAGATTTTAAATCTACTCATATTCACACAAAAAAGATCCAAAGAAAAAAAATACTGACTTTCATGAAACTCACAAAATTTGAGCTCTGACTTTTTGCACCAGTTTTCAAAGTCTATAAACTTCAGTGACCCTTAACCCATCAGAAGTCCTTCGTCTCATTAACCATTTAGCTGAGTCAACAAACTATTTTCTATTGGAAAAAAATCCTCTATGACCACATCCTGTTTTCCTTTAGTTGCTTCCAAAAACCTTCTAATCTGCTCTGGACTGTAACCATTAGTACTCTGGCCATCAGGAAGAGAGGAATCAGATTCTCTATCACTATCAGAATCAGATAAAACCTCTGAATCACTTTCTTTCACTCTTTTCTTTCAACTGAGTCTTTTTAGGTTTTACCCCTTCAGCTTCTCTAGATTTTCTTTTAGTGTTTGGTACTTTAAAAACACTTTCATCATCCTGATCAGATTCCCTCCATATGAACCAAGTCATCAACATCCATTTCTTCTTGTAATCCTTCTTGTGTCGTCGTTTGACTCTTTACTCTCTTCAGGAGAAGTAATGACATCCTCAATGTCACGTTCTGAAACATTGGACGTCTTTTGGTCTCCTGTTGAAACTCCCTCCCCAGCGTTAATTTCTTGATCTCCTTCTCCAGCATCAGCCACCAGAGTTTCCTCCCAGCTGCTCCCATGTAGCTCCATTCATAGTATCTGCTGATGTCTCAGGCTCTGGGTCTCCATTAACCTGAACAATCTCTTTTTGAACCTTTTCAGGGTAAATACGAACCGAATGGCCCTCCTGGTTACATCCAAACACTTCATAGTTTCAGTTGTTGCAAAAATAGTGGAATCAAAGCCGTCAACTTTAAATTTCATCACTATACTCAGTTCCTCTGTACCGTTTTTGAGAATCATAAACTCTTGTCTTCTAAATGAAACGACGTGTTTCAGTTTTGCTGATTTGCATCCCGATGGGAGCATTTTCATTGCCGACCCGGTCTGACCGATCTGACCGTGACGAGACAATTCCTTCAGCAACACATCATCACTGATGAAAGGAGGCAAATTAGACAGGATGATCTTTTTAGCAGGTTCATTCAAGGGAAAACAGTAGTTTGTGTATTTCTCAAAACAATTCCTCTCAACTACGCTGTTCACCTTGTCGATCGAGTCCAAAAACAACCACTGCATTATTCATCCTGGACGCTGCCTTCACACTTTCACACCCAACAAGTTCCCCAACAGCCAAACCTCCTCAACCGAAAAATCCACATCAACTGGTATTTTAATACCATGTCGACATGAAAGGCTCCTAAAGCTGCAGCACCGTAACTTTTCCTGGCCTTCGCACCGAGCTAAAAACTTAGTGGGCCGAAAAAAGACACTATTGAAACACCAGTGGAAACAGATCGTGTTAAAGTGTGAAACAAGTGAATCACCACTGGTGAAGTTCAAACCTTTAGAAAACCTCACACTCGTTCTCCTTCCACTCCACACAGGGAGAGAGAGAAAGAGAGAGAGACAGAGAGAGAGAGAGACTTGGTAAAACTGACCTTCATGGGAGAGTTTAAGACCAGAAACTCTGGTTTCATAAAGACTCGGTCCACAAAAGGTCTGATATCCGAGATTTATAAGAAAATTTGATGGACTCAAGAAAAACGGAAGGAAACCAGGAAGTCTGCCTCTGATTGGTTAAAATAAAATCATCATTAAGATGCTGAGACATCGTCTCAAACATGAACTAATACTGGAAAACTCTCCATTGTGGCTGAATTAAAATTATTCAGCAATAAAGAGTGAAGCAAATTTCCCCCTCAGTGATTTAAAAGATTTATTCCCAGATTCTGGGCCGAGGTGAAAACAATCAGTTATTAGATGAAGGAGGAAATTAGAATTTGTTAGGTTGGTAAAAGATGTGGTGAAACATTTATGAACAAAAATGTAAAACAGTGATTCTGGAGGACCAAACAGGACCTATGGAAAAAGAACAACGCTGTAAGAAAATATACACAAAATATCCATCCATCCATTTTCTGTTCATCCTTGTCCCTAGTGGGGTCAGGAGGTCATAGTGCCCATCTCCAGCTGGTGACCTGTCAGGGCACCAGAACCTCTGATGACCCCATGACCTCTTCCTTTCTCTTCCTTTGCTAACAGGCTAGTTAGCTCTGGTTAGCTTATGTTATTCTTTAGTTTTTTCTTTTTATTCCTAAGCTGCTCGTCACAACCATGATGTGTCAACTCCATAACTAACAATTTACAAAACTTTGATGACATTTTGTGAAATAAAAGCTTCATTTTGGTCAATGTAAAGATTTCATGGACCTGATGAGCTACAATATGACCGCCTTCAGAATAACATCATATAAATTGAGGTAGTTTGGCTTTTTGTCAACTCCATCAGTTTTTGTGACTCTTTCAGTGAAATTGTTGTCAAATTTCACTTAAATCTGCAATTAATTCATTTTAATGTATTTTACATACATTGCATTACTTCACATGTATCAAGTTTTTATTTTATTCACTAGTTTGTCACCTTCAGTTCTATATCAACTCCGTCAGATGAACTTTTTGTTGTTTGTTTTAAATAATATTTTTGTTTCTTGAGAAGCATTTGTCTTAGTAAAAATATCACTAATAGAGTCATTGAAATAATTTTATATTTATTTTTGTCAGATGGTGATGAGAACGTTCTGGATCAGGTCCATTAAAAATTTAATTTTCAAAATAAATGTTGCAACTGGGAGCCTGCACCTTAGCGTCTTTACATTCCCAAAACATTATTTGTCATATTTGAATACATAAGCTTGAGGAATAATAAAAAAATGGGGAAAGTTAAACCCATTTTGTCCCTGTTCTCAATAATCAAATACTTTTACATGACTTGCTTCAATTCAATTAGTCCAAACGGATCATCTAGAGAATCCATTCATATATCACACATATCCTACAAACAGACTAAAACCTGTTAATGTTTGTCTGCCAGACGTTACAGATCCACTCAGTACCGTTCCAGCTGGTATCAGGTTCTGCTGCTCCTGCAGGTTGATCCTGTGAGTCTCTGCTGTGGTTCTGTGTGATGAAACCATCAGGTTGAAGCTTCAAACACCAGGTCAAAGCTGCTTCTGACTCCAGAACAAACATCAGTTTGTCTTTAGTGGCGTCTGTTACAAGACCAGCCTGGAGGAGAAACCAGAAGTCTGATTCTGATGAACATTCAGAGATGATGACTCTAAAAACATGATGTTACCTGAACTGCAGCTTCTTTCATGAACTGTTTAGAGGAATAATCCAAGCTTTTAGGAACAGTCAGCACCCAGGTGAAGTCAGATGCTGTGAACTCTCCTCCTTCTGGATGAGATCTGATGGTTTTCAGAGCATCGTCCTTCAGGAACCTCAGAACTTCTGTAAAAACCTTCAGGATCGACATCGACTTCCTGTTGGCTGTTCTGATTTCCCTCCCCAAGATGTCCTGTCAACAGGTTTCAGTCTGTTAGTTTGTGTTCATACCAGGATAGTTTATCAAATCTACTCATGATGAACTGCTGC